GGGGGCCGCCGGGGGGGGGGGGGGGGGGGGGGGGGGGGGGGGGGGGGGGTGCTGTGGAGCGCCCGCAGTGATGACAGCGTGCGTGGGGCGGTCCTCCAGTCCCGCCTCCCCCCCACATAGCCTACTTAATTCCTGTTTCTTGGGAGGGCCCAAAAACGCTCAAGGTGTCTGAAATGGGTAGTTTTTAAACCTAACACTACCGTTACTAAAGGGAGCCCAGTCCGAAGGTATGGTTGAAGGTTTGACAGAGAACTTTAAGAATATAATTTTCCATCTGTTTGTGTGCTTCTGGCCATCCTAGGTGGAATCTCGTCAAAAATGTGCAAACAAGGAATTCATAAGTTATGAGAGATAAGAAGACACTGTGTCGAGCTATATTTTAAAAATTGTATGTTGCTCGTGTGTGTGTTTAATTAGCATGTTCATTAATTAGTTTAAAGTCACTTAGACAAATTGATAACTAATTACTTTGGCTCCACAATGATATTTTTTGTTACCAATCACGACCTCTTTTAACTAGTTGTTAATAATGGAATTTACAAAGAAAGTACATTCCTATTAATTTCAGTTCTTAATACGGGACAAGGATGAAGTTTCTAACCCTGCCATTCCACAGACGCATTATATCATCTTGAAGGAGTCACTAATGTCCCGCTGTGTTTTCTCATTTATAAGATGGAGCTGGACTAAATATTTGAACAGTTTCCAACTCTGAAATAGTGATACTATAGGACATACCAGGGGCAGGTCTTATCTTGATACTGTGAAAATGAGTAAACAGAACCTCATTAAAATGGGGTTGGGAGGCCGGAAGGGGGAGCCCCCCAACAGGACGAAAGACTTCCTCTTCTTGACCAAGAACTCAGCCAAAGAATGAAAAGCCACCCGGCATCAACTCTCCTGTCCTCCGGTGGACTTTCCTCTTCCCTCCGGAGTTCCTCCTCGCCTCGCGGCCCCACACGTGCAGGTTCCTCACCGTGGTTGCAGAACCCCAGCTGCAATTCTTTGTTGATCCCAAATAAACCCATTTTTGCTCGAGAAGTAACTGGCTGTCTTTTTGTTTAGGGTCAGCACTGTTACTCACCGTGGCCTGCCGTGTGGACACCTGAGATGAAACGGTAGAGCGGCTAGCCAGCTGTTCTGCCAGGTTATAGGCACTGTGGAAGTAGGAGATCCTGCTAGTGACCTTCCAGCCCTTCTCCAGCCTAGGCTGTTGTGAGAGATGTTGGATGGAAGCTTCTCTCATGCGTCTCTTGATGCCAGAACGGAAAGCGACCAGGGGAAGGTCGCAGTACAGACTACCCTCTGGCTCCTAAAGGGTCTTAGCAGCTCCTAAGCCCCGAGGTCTCGTTGGTTTGTTCCCACTGTCCTTCCTTTTCTGGTCTACACTCGCTCCTTAGTAAGTTTATTCTCCTGGACTAGTTTAATGCATGGGTTGATCCTGAGAAATATATTTTTGATTAATTCCTTTCTTGTCTTACAATTAGGCCCTCAATACTATTTCCAAGATTACTTCAATAACTTACTCTTTCTCCCCATTCCAGTATATTTTGGACTCTTGTCTTCATAAAATATACTCTTGTCTAAAAACTAAAAGGGCCAATTCCGAATGCTTCCACCAGCTTCGAAGGGAAGGGGCAAGAATGGCCATTTACGGAGTATCTTGTGTGTGAGCGGATCCATCTTAGACACCTCACAAAGGCGGCCTTCTGTAACCCTCCCCACAGCCCCGCAGGGTGTACTGTTACACCTGTTGTAAGGGGACTCAGGCCTGCGAAGCGTCTTGCCCAGCAGCAGGGTGCAAGGCTGGAACCCGGTTGGTCTGCTGCCGTGTTCTCTACCCCGTGCTCTGGGCCGGCGGAGGCGCGCCTGCACGCCAGCCCCTTGCTGCTCCTTTCTCCCCAGAAGAGCGAACGCGCCCGCGGAGCTCCTGACGCCGTGCCGTTGCTCTCCTGGTCCCCGTGAGCGGCTCGCCGCGCCCCTCTACCCGGCGCTCCGGTCCCAGTCGTCTCGTGTCTTTGGGGGGTGTTCACTCGCGACTCGACGCGTGCACTCTGAGATTTCGTCGTTCTTGCGTGTGTCACGACGTCCAGCAGTGGACTGTTCTCATTCGCGGTGATACGTTCCCCCCCGCTGGCCGGTGCGCTGCGTGCGGGCGGGGCTGCTCGGCGGGACTGCTTCCCTTCCAGGCAGCGCGCTGGCCTTGGTGCCGCCGGCCGCCCCCACCCTGCGCTGTCACCGGGGTCCTTCATCTTCCCAGAGACCTCGTCAGAGTCTTCTGTCCGCTCTGACTCTGACTTTCTGTTGACTCTTTTTACAGGAGAAGAATTAGAGTGTGGTGTGACGTGATGACGTAATTTGACGTAGCCAAGCAAGAACTTTTCCTGATTCGGCATGTTAAAAAATAAGGTACACACACCTTCCTGAAAACATACACGTTGTTTTACTCATGAGTATATTTTAATTCAGCTATTTGAGAGTATAAAGAAATAGTTTGCAAACCTTGCTTCAGCTGTAGTACTTACTGCAAGCATCTCTTAGGTGCATGGCAATTTAATCCTGTATAAGTTTTCACCAAAAAAAGCATATATTTAAATGCAAGATTCTCTTTAGTATAATAGAGGCAAGATTTGCCTAGAGGCTAAATTAATTATAGTGAAACGGAATGTGTTCAGGAATGCACAGCGTTTATAGGTCATAATGAATTTATTCCTATTATGATTAAGGCCTCACTAATTAAATGAAAAGATATTGCTATGTCGTTAACATAAATGGTGAGATGGGCTTTGCTCCGACTCGGGTCACGGCGGGTCTGCTGCGCCGCCAGGCTGCGTAGACCCGAGCTTCCTTCTGAATGACACGTTCCGTAATGCTCTGTCTCTGCGGCTTTTTCCTGCTTTCCAGGGTCGTTCCTCTAAACGAGATACCTTAGCAGTCACTGCCGTTGCTTTACAAGATCACATTCTGCAGGATCTTCAACTGCGAAATCTCTCAGTAGCAGACCGTTCCAAGACAAAGGTGCAAAAGGAGAACCAAACCAAGTGTGTGAAAGGGAGTGCGAGAGCACTAACAGACACTGGCCTTAAAAGACTGACCCGGGACCCTGCGGCGGAAGATCCAGAAAGAGAGTATGTGCTTGATCCCAAACCGCCACCATTAACTTTAGGTATGCTCATCTCGTCATTCATACTTTGGTTTGTTAAAGCTAATGAACCTCGTTGAGATTAATAGGATAATCTTTTCTGGTACAGAAAGAACTTATTTTAATTTACAATCTTACAGAAAGGTATATATGTACCGAAGTTTAAAAATGATGATGGGGACAATTTGAGCAAGATAATAAAGATAGCAATTATGGTAGAATAAGAATAAGTAAAAATAGGATAAAATAAATGTCCATTAATCCACACTGATAGAATAAATAACTGAATAAATAAATAAACAATGGAAAAGAAAAAGCTCTTTCTTATAGTAGAATGGCAATTAAATAAATATGGTAGACAGGGACTAGACGTAGAAAATCACCATTTGGCAAACACCATAGTAATGACAGCCATCAGTGGATGCTGGCATCAGTGGGGAAAGCACACTGACACACGGATGTGGACGTGATCCCACAGTGTCTGCCCACAGATGCGAACCCACAGCCAAGGGCAATTGTGGCTTTACAGTGGTGCACTGGCTAACAGCCCCTTCACCAAGTGGTCAAAGCTGCCATCACTGCCAGTGACAGAGGCCACATCATGTGTCTGCCGCCCGCCCCCACGCTCTGAGAAAGGGGCAGCTCCTCTTCTCTCGTATTCTTTTTTTTAAAGATTTTATTTTTTCCTTTTTCTCCCCAAAGCCCCCCAGTACATAGTTGTATATTCTTCGTTGTGGGTCCTTCTAGTTGTGGCATGTGGGACGCTGCCTCAGCATGGTTTGATGAGCAATACCATGTCCGCACCCAGGGTTCGAACCAACAAAACACTGGGCTGCCTGCAGCAGAGCGTGCGCGAACTTAACCACTCGGCCACGGGGCCAGCCCCCTTCTCTCGTATTCTTGCCCAAGATGCATATCTGAGTTTAATGGTGAGGAAACGTCAGACAGACAAACCCAAACTGAAGGATATTCTACACAATTCCTGGCCAGTAGTCTTCAAGGAAGCAAATAAAGACTGAGGAACTGTCCCAGATTACGGGAGACAAAGGGGACGTGACGAGCGAGTGCAGTCTGTAATCTGCCTCAGGAGAAACGACCCCAGTGGGACAAGAAGGACCCCGGTGAGCAATGTGGGTTGGCTGACGGTGTCAGAGCAGCACTGACTGCCTGGTCTCGTCATCGTCCAGGCTATGGAAGATGTTAGCACTTGGGGAAGCTGAGGGAAAGGCACACGAGGATGCTTTATACTGGTTTTACAAACTTTTGCAAGTCTGCAATTATTTTAAACTGAAAAGTTAGAAATAGAAAAGATTTTTAAATGACGCTGGACATGGAAAAGAGGTTTGGCTGTGTCCCAGCGCAAGTGTGATGGAGCCAGGAGGCCCGGCGGGCCTGCCACAGTGACAGCCACTCGAGAGGTTAGTATTTCCCTCTGACATGCTCACAGTGCTGGCTGTCGTTTAGAAAATGGGGTAGTTCAAGACCACACAGAGGCCTGGGAGAGCGTCGTTCAATATAGTGTCTGTGTTCCACTGTGCACGTATGGTTTGTGAAGGTGATCAGACAGCTTCATCCTAGCCAGCCTGGCAGGAAAGATTTAAATTAGACATTAGGAAGAACTTCCCAATTTGGAAAATAAGGTTATAAAGGAGAGGAAATGAATCGTTCTTTAGGGAGCTCTTTATGAAAAAAATTATTTAAATTTTTATGCATATTTGTTACTAATGAGGGTGGACCATATGTTCTCCATTATTATCTAGACATCATATTGCACTCGGATTTTCTGGCTTTTCTTGCTGATTTTCTGGCGTTGTCTGTGTACTCTGCATATTAATCTCTTGTTGGCTTAGCCCGTGAGAGTATCTTCTCCTGGTCTGTCACCGTCTTTTAACTTCGTTTGTTATTTTACACTGAATAAAATCTTCATTCTGATTACTGTTAAACCCATCAGTTTTTCCCTTTATAGTTTATGCTTTGGGAGATTTAAGAAATGCTTACCCATTCTGAGATCACAAAGGTTTCCCCTCGTTTTCTGTATTTACCTTTAAACTTTGGCCTTTCACACTTGGATCTCGTCGTGGTTTACTTTGCATTGGTATTGGGAAGATCGATGGGTATAAACGGTTGTTAGATCGCTCCCTCAAATCATAATCCATCGTTTCTTCGCTGCCTTGTGGCAACAGCTCTGCAAATGCCAGGTTTTCCACATCATCTGAGAGAGAGGCACAGAGACCGCGCGAGTGATTCGGGGGCGACTGTTTCTGTGTCAGTATCTCACCATGCTAGTTCAGTTTTATAATATGTCTTAATAACTGGTAGGAAAAGATCCATAATTCATCCCCAAAAATCTTCTCCAGAAGGATATTCTCTCAATACATTAAAATACTGTAGGCGATCCTTTGATTTTATCTTCGTGGAGACATTCCTTCTAGAACCTTCCATCACTCTCCCACCTGGACCAGTTACTCTGTACGTGGCTGGCGCAGAGCTGTCACCCCGGGCTCTCTTCACAGCCTCGTCCGTCCTGTGGATCGCCTGCCTTTGGCTCTCCTGCTGTTAGATCCTCATTCCCCGATTGCACAGCTGCTTCCTTCTTGGTTTCCTCCCTCATTGGGTGAAGTTGCTCCTCCAGGAGCTTCCTGAGACAGAGTGCATAAGAGACCAAAGTCCAAGCTTACAGACGTAGATATTTTACTCTACCCTCACATTTGATTGGTAGCTAATAAGGAATTGCACTATGGGAATCTTTTTCTTCTCAGAATTTTGAAAGACTTGCCTCCTGGTGTCCGTGTTGCTGTGGACGAGTCTGATGCAATGCGCTTCCTCACCCTTTGACAGCTGTTTTCCCTGCTCTCTCTGAAAGCTTTTAGGATCTGCTTTTTCTCTGCAGTTCTGAGTGTACGGTGACACGACTCGGCGGGAATCCTTTGCTCTCGGCCTTGCTGGGCCCGTCAAACCAGAAACACGTGGAAATGTTTGGGACTATTTTCTTTAAATGTTTCCGCTCCGTCCTCACCGTGTCCTTTCAGACGTCAGGCCTCCTCAACTCCTCCTTTAATTTTCCGTCTCGTGCTTTGTTTTATTCTCCTACTTTCTGTGAGATTGCTTTAACGTCATCTTCTAGTCTTTGAGTTGACTTCCACGTTTCTACTATAAGAATTCCAGGGGCCGGCCCGGTTGCGCAGCGGGTAAGTGCGTACGTTCCGCTTCTTGGTGGCCCAGGGTTGGCCGGTTCGGATCCCGGGTGCGGACATGGCACCGCTTGGCAAGCCATGCTGTGGTAGGCGTCCCACATATAAAGTGGAGGAAGATGGGCACAATGTTAGCTCAGGGCCAGTCTTCCTCAGCAAAAAGAGGAGGACTGGCAGTAGATAGCTCAGGGCTAATCTTCCTCAAAAAAAAAAAAAAAAAGAATTCCAGTTTTCAAGAGCGCTTTTTTGTACTCGGAGTGTTCCTGTTACAGCTTCCTCATGTTGTCTCGTAGATGTAACGCTTGCTTCTGTCCCTGAAGACGGCCTTGCATGACGCTTTATCATTGGCCCTCCTCTCGGGCTTACATCCCCACCAGTGTTTTGCCTGGGCTTGTGGCCGAGTGAGTGTTCCCACTGGAATGTAAGCTCCAGGCTTGACCCAGAGGCGACAGGTGGTGGGTACTCAACTATTGATGAATTAAGGAATTGACCCTGACAGTAATTATACATCATAAGAGATTTTTCGCAAAGGAAGAACGTGATTGATATCCATGTTGTGAAGGTAACTGGTGGCAGGAACAAGCTACATTGGAAGGAGGCAATTCTGAAGGCTGAGAGAGAACTCAGGGAAGCAATGATGAGGACCTTTGGCCAATACCTGTGAAAAATTAGTATTCTTCAGTCTTTCTTCTGTAAAATTGGGTATCAGTCCCGCTTGCCTTGTAGAACTATTGTGAAAATGAAATAAGATATGAGGAATTCTTTGTAAATAAAAACATAAAACATATGTAAGGTACTATTGCCTTCTATGCGCCGTAGAAAAGTAGCATTCTATAGATGGTGGAGTACGGTACAGTCATGTGTCGCTTAATGATGGGGACACGTTCTGAGAACTGCGCCAGGCGATCTTGTCATCGTGTGAACATCATGGAGCCACTTACACAAACCTAGATGGTACAGCCTACCGCACACCTAGGCTGTGTGGTACTAGTCTATGGCAACACCGTTGTGTATGCGGTCCGTCGTTGACTGAAACCTCGTTGTGCAGGACTTGACTGTATGTGATATAAATGTTTTGCTTTAATATTTGTTTTCAAAATAATGTCATTAAAATTATATATGAGTACCATATTCTAAAATATATTTTAACTCATATTTTGTGTTGTTTTAACTTTAGCACAGAAGTTGGGCCTGTTTGAACCTCCCCCATTGCCACTATCATCAAATGAATGGGAAAAAGTGAAACAAAGATCCATCGTGCAAGGGGATTCCATGCAGCCGTGCCCGATATGCAAAGAAGAATTCGCGCTTCGCCCCCAGGTGGTTAGCCTGAGATGATATAAGCAGGCCTTCGCTAGTGTAGACTCAGAACTGGGCTGAGTCCAGACTGCTTCTTCCAGTTTCTTCCTCCTGCATGACCCTCAGACACTCACATTTTCTTTTCCATCATGTTTGTGAGAAAGAGCTATAAACACCCTCATTAAACAGTTTTATTTATTGACCAAATGATATTAATTTACAGGGTTTTTGTTTTTGTTTTTTTTTTGAGCAAGTTTAGCCCTGAGCTAACATCTGCCACCAATCCTCCTCTTTTTGCTGAGGAAGACTGGCCCTGAGCTAACATCCATGCCCATCTTCCTCTACTTTATATGTGGGATGCCTGCCACAGCATGGCGTGCCAAGCGGGACCGTGTCCACACCCAGGATCCGGACTGGCGAATCCCAGGCCGCCAAAGCAGAACATGCAAACAACTGCTGTGCCACCGGGCTGCAGTTCCCAAGTATGAATTGGTACAAAGGGGGTGTTCCCATCCCACTGGCCGTAAATAGCTGAGAAGCAAGTTGAGACACTGATGGGAGGAGACAGACGCATTTGGATCCCAGTGTGGGAGGGAGGAAGCAAAGAGGAATTTTTAAGTTGTTTTGTGAATTGAAATCATAAAAGAAAAACTATGCTTGAATATCTCCAAAGAATGTGTAGAAGAATCTTTAAGTAAAATCTCTCAATAACCTCCATTCATGAACCTTTACCGTAGTAGGACTGACGATGGTGCGTGTCACGTACAGTCTGGGTCCAAGTGTTCTCTGTACAGACTTGGCCTCGTTAAACTATCATCTCCTGATCGGAAAGGACACTCCTAGTCTTGGGATTTTTTTTTTTTTGAGCTAATGGCTACCCTACAATGATTTCTCATGTATGTAGCATTATGCTTCTTACAGAGCAGGCACACGGAGGTTTGCTGAAAAACCACAGCAAATAGTTAAAATTCATAGCCCGGGAACCCCAGGCTCCGCTTACTACCCTGGCACAAAAACTCGCAAACTTAATTTGTTTTAATAAGTTTCATCATTGACAAGTTAGTTCATAGTCATGAAACTTTTGTTCTTTACTGATTTGAATTTACAAGTAATTTTAAACACACTTATATTCCAGCACTCTATCAGGGCCTCATCATACATAGTGAAAGCTGGGTATTTCGTAAAGATTTTAGACCTTAAACACAGAATTATCATCTAGGATAATTTAGTATTTTAGTGTAGCAAGAGTTAATAAAGCCACAAGGAGTCCTTCTGGCCCCAGCAAGCTCCTTCTTGATTATGCTATAAATATTTAGCCTGGAGAATGGAGAACTTAAATGTTGAATTACCCTAAGAGGTGGGATCAGGATGCATCGTGTCCACCATTTCTTCCATTCGGATTTTTATAAATTTCTCACTAAGTTCTGTATTTTTGTTTGGTTATAGATACAGACACTTGTGTTCATTTTGCATTTCTGGTTATTGTTCTCATGTTTAGGTTTTTCCTTAGTTATAAGCAATAGTTGGCATTTTCCCAACATTTAATGGTTTCATAGGTCTTCAGTCAATCTCCTGTCTCTCTGAGGTGGGCATTATATCCATTAACAGATGAGGAAATAAAACGATTCGAGTGATCCACAGTAGGCCAATACAGGAAGTGTGCTCCAGTCCAGCTGGAATCTAATCCTAACTTCTGGGACATTTTTAGTGTGTTTACCACCACCTCATCATTTATTTTTATCTCAGAGAATGTTTGCCAATAACAAATATTTATGCATATTTAAAAGTATGATCTTTAAATATACAGAAGTGTAATGTTATTCAATATAGATCATCAAATACCTGTTGATAAAACATTCTGAAAGATTATAAAGAATGAGCACACAAAAGATTGCTATTAGATTAAACAGTGATCATTAAAAAGGAACCATATGACTGGGTTTAGGCTTCTTGTTGGCAATAAGTTTTCCAGGAAAGGTTTTAAGAACTTTCTGAGTTCTATTTAAGCCAATTTTCTTCCATTCTTCCCATTTGAGAAGAAAAGTGTAGACTGACCGAAGGCGGGGGATGTTCACTTTGAAAGCTGGACAGTTTTACCCAGATCAGGCAGCCGGCCCCGGTGTCTGATGAGCTGCCAGCCTCACGCAGAGCGTTGGAGACTGGCTCCCCGAGGTCCGATCCCTGAGCAGGGACAGTGCTTCCCCTTGGGCCAGCGCTGCAGAGGGAAGCGGCGGAGCGCTCGCTCCGGGGCCACCTGTGCACGGCCTCGTGTCCTCAGCCCACAGTGCTGGCTGTCCTGGTCTCCCCTCCGTGTCTCCTCCTTCCAGAAGAACCACTACGTTTGTCTTTATTCAGTCTAAGCTTCTGTCTTTTGTCACAGCCCAGAATATCACTATTTGGTGGGGAATTTGTGCCACAGAGAAATGATACTTTCCTCTGAGCACACTTTCCCTGCATTTAAAAAAGAAAAAGTGATTCATATGTCTAGGATTCATTGCTATTTAAATCTGAATGTCTGAATTATATCTCAATAAAGCTGTGATTTAAAAAACATTTCCGAGTGCAGTTTCTGAACCAAGGCCTGGACAGAGGTGTCTGCCCCTCCTCCCCGCCAGTCTGCGTCCCGCTCGGGGCTGCCCGCAAACACACCTCTCTCCTAACTGGCCTCTCTAAGGATGCGCTCATTCTAATGGCTAATAGAAATTAGTGTGTTTGACGGTTTAGATTGTTAAGCTAGTTTCTCTTGTTGAGATTATATACCTGTGCTGTGCTAAACTTAAGCACTAAATATTATAAATTCGAGGTTATTAATCTGCTTAATTTTTCAAAGAAACACACTTACCTTTTAAGCATTCAGAGTTTTTCTTTTAATTAATGCATTTACGCTGCTTCTCTTTTAAACTAATTTAAACTTCAAACATTTTTCATCTTCCCGTGCACAGGTGCTGCTTTCATGTTCCCACGTGTTTCACAGGGTGAGTAAACCCTGCCTCCCCGCCCTCGGACAGCGTGCCACACGTCGTCCTTGCAGCTCGGAGGTGGAGCTGCTGTTAGTCAGTCAGTCTCCTAGAAAGAGCCACTTGTCTTATCCATAATCACCGTTGACAGTTAGAAATACGACGTCAGGCTACCGTACAGTTCATCCTGTTTTGAAAATCATGAACATTATGTGACAAGAGCCACAAATGTCTGTGTGGCCGACTGTTGCTAGTGACGGGCATCCGAGTGGGTGGCACCCCCTCCCTGTGAGTTAGCTGCGTGGCAGCCCAACACACGGGCCATCTGCCTTCACCCGGGCTGTCTGCAGGAGTTTTTGATGTAGCTGCATGTATATTCTTGTAAAGTATCACTTTTGGAGCAAGTTTCATGAGGAAGGTGTTAACATCTGATGAAACTTCTTTGCTTCATAAACTAAATTGGACTAAGTCTCATAATTATGAGAGAAAAGAACACTATAATTACATTAGAAGTAAAAAAGTTGTTTATAAGTAATCGCTCATAAAATTTTAAGTGAAATGTTTCTCTTCAGGCATGCCTTCAGGCTTTTGAAAAGTTCACAAATAAAAAAACCTGTCCTCTCTGTAGAAAGAACCAGTATCAAACCAGGGTGATTCACGACGGGGCCCGGCTCTTCAAAATAAAGTGTGCGACCAGGTGAGGGGAGCCCCTGGTCCTGCGGGCCCAGCCCGCGGGGACACACTCCACTGCAGCGTCCGCGTGGACACTGGAGGTCAAACCACAGAACTGGCTTAACAGGTGGGGGGTTTGACCACTCCCCATGGCCGTCGTCGCTGGGGGCTTCACAGCGCAGGCTCCTCGCAAGTTCTGGAACGCTTGTTAAAATAAAGCATCCTGAGTGAGTCGTTTCAAACGTCCGTGTTCTAGGATCCAAGCCGCCTGGAGGGGACACGTGGTTAGAAAGTGGTACCGAGAGCTGAGGAAGACGGTGCCTCCCACCGATGCCAAGTTGAGGAGAAGATTCTTTGAAGAAAAGGTAGGCACAGACCCTTAGTTCTCCCGACGGTGACTCGCTGGGTCAGAGGCGAGCAGAGGTGGGGAGGCTCCGAGACGCGCTTCCTGTTTAGGCTTTCGAGACGTGACTGAGACGCTGCTGCTGACCCTCTTCAACTGAAACTGCCTTTCCAATCCACATGGTAAACTATTTTCAGATTCTTTTCTAGTTAAATCATAAAATTCAAAAAATTGGAATAAGGTTAAATTCAAAGCAACTTTTGTTTGGCCATTTCATGACAAATGTTTAAATAAACTGATGTTTTCAGATAAAAGAATGGAAGCAAGCTTAAGTTTTTCACATCCCCTGAACTGCACGCAAACAAACAGAAGGAAACTTAGAACAATAAAGACCCACATGCTACTGTTTTATGAAGTGCCTCCTTGGGCCTCATGGGATCACCAAATTTGAGAGTTTTAGAAATGAATTCAGTTTCTACCCTTTTAACCATTTTTTTCTTTTATTTTTACTTTGTTTTGGCTTAACAATTTTCCGTTATTGTACCCCATGCAAAAGGACCGGCACGGCTGTGGAGGGAGTGGGGAACGGCCCACTCCCAGCCCCTCGGCTGTGGCATCAGCCGACGCCAGCTGGCTCACCTGCCGCAGGCGGGTGTGGTCCTCACATTGCTGAGCTGTGCTGGGAGTGAGCACACTGTTTACTAAGGCCCAGTGCCCAGCAGGCACTTGAAAATGTGTTTACTGTAAATGCTAATATATGGTTTCAGTTCTTTCCGTCCGTCGTTAGATGTCGTGATGCTCCACGTTGTTCCACGGCGCTCTGTGAGAGAGGGCGTTAGCTAATATACGGTTTCAGTTCATCTTTCCGTCCGTCGTTAGATGTCGTGATGCTCCACGTTGTTCCACGGCGCTCTGTGAGAGAGGGCGTTAGCTAATGTACGGTTTCAGTTCTTTGTGTCCGTCGTTAGATGTCGTGATGCTCCACGTTGTTCCACGGCGCTCTGTGAGAGAGGGCGTTAGCTAATGTACGGTTTCAGTTCTTTGTGTCCGTCGTTAGATGTCGTCATGCTCCACGTTGTTCCACGGCGCTCTGTGAGAGAGGGCGTTAGCTAATATACGGTTTCAGTTCATCTTTCCGTCCGTCGTTAGATGTCGTGATGCTCCACGTTGTTCCACGGCGCTCTGTGAGAGAGGGCGTTAGCTAATATACGGTTTCAGTTCTTTGTGTCCGTCGTTAGATGTCGTGATGCTCCACGTTGTTCCACGGCGCTCTGTGAGAGAGGGCGTTAGCTAATATACGGTTTCAGTTCATCTTTCCGTCCGTCGTTAGATGTCGTGATGCTCCACGTTGTTCCACGGTGCTCTGTGAGAGAGGGCGTTAGCTAATGTACGGTTTCAGTTCTTTCCGTCCGTCGTTAGATGTCGTGATGCTCCACGTTGTTCCACGGCGCTCTGTGAGAGAGGGCGTTAGCTAATGTACGGTTTCAGTTCTTTCCGTCCGTCGTTAGATGTCGTGATGCTCCACGTTGTTCCACGGCGCTCTGTGAGAGAGGGCGTTAGCTAATGTACGGTTTCAGTTCATGTTTCCGTCCGTCGTTAGATGTCGTGATGCTCCACGTTGTTCCACGGCGCTCTGTGAGAGATGGCGTTAGCTTCAAGTTGCTCAGACGAAACTCCTCACAGGCGCTTTCTTGAAATGGTCATTTGTGGAAGTGCCCCTGACACATTTCTTTGGATCTTTTCTATACATGTTTTTAGCTCGCACTCCCATTTGGAACAATGAGTGATAGAAAATGACTCTTTATTGTTTAAAGGAATCCCTTTCCTCCCCCAATGATGACTTCCTTGAGCACGTAGCGCATGACGAGCCTCCGTCCTGGGCTGTGGGTGGAGAAGCCGACGTCCACAGCTCGCTCCTGGTCCTCTGACTCCCAGTCTGGCTGAGGTGCTGATCCCTGTGCACCCTCATGTGCACCTCAAGCCTCACCGTCCCTCCACGTACCCGGGCTGAGGGGGCTTCTTGAAAGTGTCGCAGACCTGCTTAGGGCATGCTAAAAGTAAGTGATTTCAGCTGGACTATAAAGCAGTGTGATAGCAGATTTTTTCCAGTTCCCTTCCTAATCACTTAGGTGATGGTTCCAAGCAATGTAGTTTTCAATACGTGCAAAAGAAAATGAGAATCGTGGCTCACAGCGGTTTCAGCACACCTCAGATGCGACCAAGAGAACACGCACGATTGTCCTCAGGAGAAGGTCGCCAGTCAATGCAATATGTGCGCAAATTACCTCAAAATACTGTGTGTCTCAAAGACACAGAGGCTCACCCGGTGGTGGAGAGGTCAGCTTCTGCGGCAAGGGCAGTCTCAGCACGCCTAGAGGCACCAGAACCGCTGAGCCCGTCCTGGCCTTGCGAGGGGCCCTCCCTCCTGCTGTGGGGGCGGGGGGGGGGGGGGGGGGGGGGGGGGGGGGGGCGGACTGTGACTGGCTCTGGCAGGATGGGCGGCTCCTGCAGCGGCTCTGGCTGTGGGGGAAGTGGAGGGAGACAGGAGAAGGGGTGAGAGGCTGTGGATAGAGAAGCTGCAAATCTCTTTTTTTCTACATTTATATAAGAAAAGGTACATCCTCCAAGTCATTCATGCCCCTTCCAGCATGAATTGGGGTGCAAAGGACTTTCAGGGAAAGACAGAGTCCTGGGAAAGACCGCTTCCTATTTCTGGTTACAAGTGGTCATGTGAAAAGCTTTCCATTTTTCCGCGCCACCCAGTTCTTTTTCAAACATCCCCATTTTACAAAAGCAGCAGCAAATCAGCTGAAATTGCTCATAATTTGCTGGGTGAGAAGAATGTGTGCCACTCTCATTTTTTCATGGTCAGCGAGCCTTTCCTCTTTAAAAGCTAGACAGCAGGGCCGGCTCCATGGCCGAGTGGTTAAGTTTGCACTCCGCTGCGGCAGCCCGGGGTTCAGATCCTGGGCACGGACATGGCACTGCTCCTCAGGCCACGTTGAGGCGGCGTCCCACATCCCACAACTAGAAGGACCTGCAACTAAGATATACAACTATGTACGGGGGGGGGGGGGGGGGGGGGGGGGAGTTGGGGAGATAAAGCAGAAAAAAAATAAAGAAGATTGGCAACAGTTGTTAGCTCAGGTGCCAGTCTTAAGCTGGACAGCAGCACGCTGGCCTCCCTTCCGGATCTCAGCTCCCCTGAGTTTACCGTCTACGTTTAAAAAGTCGTTGTCCATCGACCAGGATAACAGTTTCAACCTAACCTAGAGTCTCTATGCTCACTCCCTGTAGTCAACCTGGTTTTTGGGGCCAATTAGCATTTTCTCAGCAATGTCTTTCATCTCAAGGACTGGTAATCTCTTGTGTTGTCAGTCCTTCTCAAGTCAGGAAATGACTGCCTTCCACAACTGTTCTTCATCCTTCTCTTATGTTTTTTTTCATGCTTTTCTATATTCTGGACAGGAAGTCTTATTCTCTGAGTTACTTGTGGCAATTCTAATATATAATAGTGCATTGGATCTCAAATCAGAAATTATTCATTGTTTTCTCATACAAAATTTTAATTACAGATTTGATAGTCATTTTACTGTATGTGTATAAATATTTTCTTATTTGCATGCATCATCGTATAACTTTTGAAAATACTGGCTACACTTTGCTTTCACATAAAGAGTCAAGAGGCTCAACTGATTATACCTACACCATAATTCAGATCATTCTTCCCCGAAAGCATTTTAATTTAGTGAAGTTAGACTCATAATTTGTTGCATAAATAGGCATTTTATAATTGACTCTGCTTTTGATTTTTTAATTAACTCTAGAATCCCCAGCTCTCTGCCAGTTTCCTAACCTTCTCTGCAATTTCTTCACCCTCACTCAGCTCACTGCTCCCATGTGGCCGTAAACAACTGAAATCTGTAAGCTCCAACCTTCACATTGGCAGTAGGTACATACTCTTGTCACTGCTCCTGGTTGCCCATATGGGTATAGGCCTTAGATGCTTAAATGCCTATGTAGGCAGAGCCCAGAGGCTGCCCTTTAGGATAGAGTTCACTTCTTATCATTACTGAGTGACTCTTGCAATTTGACAATTTTTTCCTACCTTTTTCAACTTGATGGAACTCACTTGCTGAGCTATAGGCATGCTGTAGGAAATGTTAATCTACAATTTTAATCTATAGTTTTAAAATACCAATATGTTTTAATGGAATCTGAAAGATTTTTGAACTAGTTTACTGAATTTCACATGACCCAGGATTCTATAGATGCATCAAAACTATATGGATGTATACACAAAGGATAGTTTGAGAACTGAGGTCAATAAGTTAGTATAAACTATTGGGTGAAAGATTGTTGAGGAATAGGATATTCTCACAGTCTCGAAATATCACCCCACAGATCACTTATAATTTACAAAGAGAATGAGAAGTCTTTACATTGGAAAAGTGTGGTAGACATACTCTCAGCCCAGTGACCAAAATTACCAATAATTGGACAAATTGACACCATGCCCCTAATATACAGGGTGTACTGGGAGAAAACACTGCCTTTGCACCTTCATGCCAAAATGCTTAACCTGAACCTAATCATGAGAAAACCTGTAATCAGGTAAACCCAAAATGAGGAATATTCTGCAAAACAACTGGCTTCAGCTATAAAATGTCAATGTCATAAGGGAAAAAAATGGCTGCAGAATGTTCTAGAATAAAGTCTGAGAGATATAACCTTTAAATGTAATGAGACATCTTTGATTGGATCCTGCATCAAAACCAAAATAAAACAAGTGCTGTAATGGGGATACTTGGGAACGTAACTGTGGATCTTATACTATGCAGTGGTGACACATCACTGTGACATCTCCGTAGCTGTTCATGGCATTGTCACAATCAAGTAGTGTCCTGGTTCTTAGGAGAGGACACATGCTGAAGGGTTCAGGGGTGAAGTGTTGTGATGTTTGCAACTAATCCTTAAATAGATTGTGCACTCACACATATATACAGAAAAGAGAATACAAGTGCAGTGAAATGTTAACAATTAAAATGTAAAGATAAACTGTAGCAGTGTAGACATAGGACACACAGTTTCTAAATCCCAGGGAGTTGGGCTTGGCTAGGAAATGAGAAGGAAAGGGAGGATGGGAGAAGAAGGGGAGAGGGTAAAAACAAAAATGACATTCACCCTTATACCAAAATATATTCCATATGGAACAAAGAGTTAAATATAAAAACTGAAACATAGTAATTTTAGAAGAAAGCATTATAAAATAACTTATGATCTGGAAGTAGGAAAGACCTTTCTAGTAGGATTTTTTAAACCACACACACACACACACACACACACACACACACACAAATACTAGAGGAACTGATTGGTAACTACATAAAATTTCAAACCTTATGTATAGGGAGAAAAAATAAAAAGACCAATGACAAAGCAGAAAAATTTGTATTTGTAATTAAAGGACTAGAAGCAAATTTCCATAATATGTTACAAGCAGTTTACTGAAGAAGGACTACAGATGTATGATTACTATATAAAAAGATGCTCAACCTTATTAATAGTTAAATAAAACTAAAATAAAAAATAACCTGTTTCACCTATTAGATTGGAAAGAATTGAAAAGTTTGATGATAATTATCTAGTGCTGATAAGAATAAGAGGGAAATGGACATTCTTATACGCCATCAGTAGAACCAAGAATGTACCATCCTACTGGCTGATCCATTCTCTAGAAAGTTACCCTACAGATAATACTCATAAATGTTTGCTATGGTATATTCATGAGTATGTTTAATATAGCAATGATTATCAAATAGAACCATAAACAACCAAGGAGTCCACCACCAAGGAAACATTCATACAATGATGACAACACAGCAGTTATAAAGACCAAGGTAGATATGTATGTGGATATAAAAAGATTTCCAGCAAAAGTCAGGAAAAAGCAACAAGAAAGGATAATGAGTAGAAAAAGTAAGATGATAGGATTAAAACATAACCGTAATTACAACAAACATGACTGAGATAAACTTCCCTATTAACAAACTCTTGAATTACCTTGCAAAAAAATCTACTAATAGCTGCTTCTGAGAGACACATTTTAATCAAATGAAACAAAAAATGTTCTATATAAAGGCATGCTCAAAAATAACTGAGGAGGAGTGGCGTCAGCATGGTGGCGGAGTGAGCTCTTCCCTTAGACTCTCCCCCTAAGGTACAATGAGAAGGACACTCATAAACCAGCAGAGGACATTCACACAACACAACAGATGTCTGAGAGATCCATGCAGCCACCCCTCTGAAGGTGGAGGTGCTGGACCCCCCGGAGGAAGAGGAAGGAGATAAGGGGATCTCCTCTCCCTCCCCAGCTGCGACCCAGGGCATGGGACTGTGCACAGCTCTGAGAAAAGGTGGGGGCAGCTCTCCATGGGAATGCCATTGCTATCTCAGTTTCCTGCCAGCCATGGGAAAGCTCACACAGAGGAGGCTAAGCTATCGTGGGGGTGTCTTCATCAAGCCAGCACCCCAGAAGGGCAAACAGCAAGGGCAGAGCGAGAACACCCCTGGGATCATGCACATGAAAGAAAGCGCCCCTCCCCCTGCCCAGTGCACCAGCTCGGCTGGTCACCCAAAGCAAGGGAGCCCCGCCAGAGCACATGCACGTGTGTTAATAAATCAGCATCTGCCAGCAGGCAATTGCAGACAGGCCCTCTCAGCACAGATGCCAAAGGACAGGCACTGATGCCAGGGAGCGCCACAGGTGCAGAATACACAGCTCCTGCCCCGCTTCCAGTGGTGGCAGGTGGAACCTGTGACCAGATACTACCACTATGCGAAGGCACAAATCTACCCCATCAAATAATATGAGGAGGTATATTAATACTCCAGACCAGGAGGGAAATGACAAGCACCCAGAATAAATCCTGAAGGCGCAGAAACTTACAATCTAAATGACAGAGAATTCAACATAGCTATCACTAAAAAACTCAACGAGTTACAAGAAAATTCAGAGACAGTTCAATGAAATCAGGAATACAATTAGTGAACAGAGGGACTTCTTCACAAAAGAGATTGAAACTATTAAAAAAAATCAGAAATGTTGGAGATGAAAAACACAATGAAGGAAATAAAGAAAAATTTGGAGTCCTTGAATAACAGAGCTGACATTATATAGGACAGAATTAGTAATTTAGAGGACAGAAATATAGAAATGCTTCAGATGGAAGAGGAGAGAGAACTAAAACTAAAAAGAAATGAAGAAATTCTCCAAGAAACACCCGACTCAATTAGGAAAGGCAGCATAAGGATTGTAGGTATTCTAGAAGTAGAAAGGAGCAGGAAGCTTGTTCAAAGAAATAATGGCTAAGAATTTCCAAAACCTGAGGAAGGAGCTGGAATTACAAGTAAAA